TGCGTGCATAATTGATGGTACGGCCCATTCCGGAATCCGGACGTTATAATAAATATTAGCAACACAATCAACCATAATGTCGACCTGACCACTTGTTGAGGAATCGGCGAATGTTTATTTTCTGATTGATATTCCAATACTACACATTATTGTAACGAATCCTCAATATGCATGTCACATGTTTAATATTTTCCTGGTATTTTAATGAAAATTCACAAATAAGGAAGCATTATTTCCTCAGATCCTTCAGGAGGTTACCAAAGATTCATGGTTTTCCTCAACGTCGCTCATTAAATAACCATAAAGTGCCAGCCTATTTAATCATAGTTTTTTTCCTTTCCTTATATGAATAGTGCACGGTATTAAATAAAAGACGTTATACTGCTTTACTTTATACCGATTACTTAATTCAGGCAAGTCACAACTCAAAACTTAATCTTATGATTAAGTTGAGTAAATCATACTTTCCCCCAAATCAAGTCAGTTGTTAACGTTATAATATATTTGAAATTACTAACAAGGTTTCATTTAAAATTTCTGGATGAAGAGTTTGAACACTTTTTCAAAATATGGTTCCTTGTCCAGCTATTGTCATTCGCTGCGCCTCATGATAAGTGCCAGAGCGCAGGGTTCAATGCACGTCTCAGTTTGCCGCACCCGATTCCGCACACCTATCATCATTTCACACAAGTTTCCATTTTAGTGATCGCCACTAGATTCCACTTGGAATCTGGACTCTGATGTCAGGGTTTTAAGAGTCTTCGTGCTGAGCGAAGCTGTGCGGTCTGTTTTGCCGCAGGTACAGCTAGGTGCGATCGTGCGCCGGTCGTTATGTTTCAGTGGTGGACTATAGCTGAATAGAGTGGCGTAACCTTGAACTGTTTCGGTTACGACAGTCGCTGACGATTTTGCAATTCATATTAGCACATACACTTGACTCTCATTCTGGTGCTAAAATAAACAGTAACAGTTGGACTGCTTCTTTATTATACACTCGGATGTCATTCAGCTTGAGGCCGAATACTTGTTATTTTAAAATAAGTGGATTCATCTGTTTTTTATATCCACTTTGTGTATGGTTATAGTCTAAACGTTTTTCAGGTTCCATTAACTTTTTCGGTTGAGGCAATTAACTAATTTCATTTTCATATGGTTTTCTACATTTCCCGTAATTATTAAACCCCAGTTGACTGTTTGCGTCATAATGGCTAGTAAATTACTTGGTTATCAACGACCTTTACTAACGGTACCGGGCCAAGGTCAATGCCGGTTGATTATGAGGCTTCAAAAATATCGCCTTCACAGTTCATCTAGCTGCTGGACTGGACAACGCATACACAATGAATCCGTATAAGGTTTTTGTTAGTTTTTCACTGAAAAACATAATCGCGTTGTATGCTCTATCAACAGTAACATTATTTTTAACACCTTTTTTCTTTGCTCTTTATGTATGTAATTTAAAAGCCTGTTCAGCGTTTCGTTCTGGAATTGCTCAATGACTGCTCTAGATTTCGCTAGTTTGAATTTCAGGGTCGTGTTTATAAAATGTAGTTCACACGAGCAAGTAAAAACGAGTGTCAGTTTATTAGACGACGGTACCAGTAATGTCCATGAATGGGGCATTAAAAATAATAAATATCGCAATTTTGAACCAAAAAACAAATTCACGATTGAGATTTTTTACACATCTTATGAAATATTAAGTCAAACGGATTTATGACAAATTAAATAATTCATTTATTAAGTAACCTTACAAAGTATGTGTAAATAACAAAAATAAATCCATTAGGTATCATTCAGCATGTGACGTCATTAAGACACCTTGATGCTAATCTTACAATTTGTTTTATTTTACGTAAATGTGTTTGGATCACCAATTAATAATGCACGGTACCTATATGGTACTAGTAACAGTGCAATATATCGATGAACGTGTTAAGTCATAAAATCAGAATTCATCATCATCATCAGCCCTTTTACGTCCCCACTGCAGGGGCTCGGGCCTTCCTTATGGATGGTTAAGGAGGATGGGCCATGACCCTCCACGATGGCCCAATGCGGATTGGAGGGTATTGACGACTGCAAATGCAGCCGGGACCAACGGCTTAACGTGCCTTCCGAAGCACGGAGTAGCTCGAGATAATAACTTTTTGGTCACCCTTCCCGTGACCGACCCTAGCGAAAGTTGCTTAACGACAACGATCGCGGGCCGCGGCGCTTATCCACTACGCCACAAAAAAAAAAAAAAAAAATCAAAATTAATAATACACAAAGGCAAGATAAATGCCTCTTTCTCTAACAAACAATTACCTAATTCAACCAAAATCAAATATACGTCGAAATCTTTGTTTAAAAGTTGTTATATTATAATCATCATGACGATTCACAAAGTCAACAAAACCGGGATAAGTTCATTGTCTCCAGTAAGTCACCAATCTAAAAATGAATCCGTCTGAAAACATCTACACAGATAATGTTTATCGCGATAAAACTTGACGTCACGATCAAGTCTTTTATAAACATTGTAATGTTATTTCTACTTTTCTACTGAAAATAATAAGTTAGTTCTGATTCCTTTCATAAACATTGTAATGTTATTTCTACTTAAAATAATAAGTTCTGATTCTTAAAAAAAGGATATTTATTATAATAAAGTACCTGTCACACGTTTTATGGCAATTTTGTTAAAGTATTATAAGAATTTATCCTAGTTTTATAATCTTTATTTATTTTTTCTTAAAAGATTATACTTTTCCACGTACTCGAAGTATCGCTTTAAAACTATTATAAAATAGCTAAGATTTAAGTTTTAATAGTTTCTTTACATTTGGGGGTTAGAAATAAAAAGATTGAAAATCACTTGTTGTTAATTTTTGGAATATCCATTTTATACAGATGTTTCGAATGTATACTAAATGAATGTATACTAAAGTTACTATAATTTTTATCGCTTTTAAGGGTCGAAATAAAACAATTTACCTTCTGTACTTAATATCCAACGTATATAAAACTCTCTTTCGTGTTTAGAATTCGATCTGATACGATTACAAATAATCGATGTTACTGTTCGTCTGGGTGTTGTGGTGCTTCCCCCCACCACCGTAGTAGCCTCGCTAGTGCGCCTCTACACGTGGCTTCGCGTCTGCTTATTACGTAAATATAGTTTTTTTTTTAATATTTATTTTATATTATAGCTGTTAATTAAGCTAATGGCCAAAGGATATGAGTTGTGTATCGCGTTGTCCTTTTAATGTGAAGGCTTTCAAATAACAACATAAAGGATATTCCTGCAGGAATAAAAAAAAATTGCTCAATCGTCACTTTAATATCCCAAATATCTCTAATCATACTATAGTGACAATTTCCCGTTAGGACATGAAAAACTACAACAAATTAACATTATTAAGCTGGTTTGCAAAAATCCGATATTTATGGTAAATATCCGATATTTCACAAATATCCGATATATATTGGATATATGTCATGCATATGAAAATGCTACGATTTTTAAACTGCTAATGGCTTTATTTATTATTTGATCGTTTAAATCAAAAGTGTAAAATAAATATTGAATTTGAGTCATATAATATTTGTTTATTTATTATAAAATAATGAAAAAGTAGTATGCGTGCGAGGATTTCCAGTGACGTATTGGGGAAATCTCGACATTTCTAGTAAGATTGCTACTTCGGGCCAATGTTGCTAGCGTCACATCGGGTTGGTTAGTTTTCTAGCTGAGACTGAATTGGCTATTCAGTCTACTCAAACTAACAATAAATATTATATATATCATGATAGATATATATTGATATTTATCAGCGAACCCTGTTATTAATTATAGAATAATCCTAAAATCCACGTATCTAATTTGATTTGTTTGACTTTACATGCATTTTCAGAAACTCGTGAACAAATCTGCACTTCTCATTATAATGACTATGTATATATCTGCATCTTTATTTATTCATTCATGGTTGCTAACCTTCAGCCTACGTCTATCGCTTTAGCATATTTACGCAAATCGCTCTGCATGTGTAAACCATAGATTTAAAAATATCATAGACATGCTAATATATATTATTTAGAAGCGAAACTAGTTTTATTGTTCTATAACAATACATCGACGAACATTTGCTTTATTGCTTTTATAAGAAGGTTTTAATTAATCGAACCTTGCGATAGACAGCGTTGTGTTCGACGCTGTATTTTTAACAGAATAGCACCGCAATTTATATAATTTAGACGTGAGAACTTGCAATAACGTAATATCAAACTAGAATAAGAATTTTATACACGAATAATCTCGAAACGTTTCGTGTGACAGTTTGGACGTTCCGTAACTGGTGATAATAAAACAATATATTAGTGATGTGCCGTATCTGTATCTGGTTTGCAATGGATATCTGAAGGACGAAATATAGGTATCTGTATCCTGTATTTTTAACGGATATAGAGGTCGTTTTCTTACATTTAAATATGAGCATGAGATTCTAAGTTAGTAGTAGAAAATTAAGATTATTATAGAATAAAGATTATATACAGCTAAACGAAGCTCTAAAGAAATTTTTGAAAAAATAAACAACCCATTTGTATTAATTCTACTTATTTTAACAAAGAACAATTTCTGTAAAATAATATTTATAATGAGATTTTCTTATTAAAGTCACTTCGATTAATGACCCGTAATTGTATGTTATGTATTGTCCCCATATGTATTTACATACGAATTTTACACGGTTTCGGCACATCACTATATCTGTGTACATCACTAAATAAATATAAATTAAGTATTAATTAATTAAATGATCAGAGTAAGTGAAGTCACTTTCATTATGAGAATTTTGTCGTGACAATAACATATGTGCCAATATCGTCGATATTCTAACCTTACGGCTTTATAAAATAAAAAAAAATGTTTATTGATAAAATTTTTAAGCATGCAACTTGATGATAATTATCTAAGTATATTATATGTTTGTGTATATTTAAATTGTCGGCAGACGCGGAGTACCCTACACACTGTCGCTGTTTTTGAATGAAATAACACAGCTTGTTGCACTGCAAAGTAAGTCTGTGTCTTAGAAATTCTCCCAAACATGTTATACATTTTATTTTTTATTGAAAAAAATCCTCTTGTTATTTTTTTTTCATCGACTTTATTTTTATTTGAGGCGTGATGTTATGTGTTATTTGGTTTGTAGTTTGCTAATAGACAATTTAAAGTTTGTCACGCAAATGTCAAAATTGTATTAATATTTGTAAAGCGCCACCTACCTCCGTAAAATAAGAACTGAAATTTCCAGTTTGTACGTACCATATTCCAATTCAATTCGTGCTAGATAAGGGTACTGATAAACTATATCTCTAAAAGCGAATACGTACTGACTAAAGTACCTTTATTCAAAATATGTTTTTGCAGTCGATATATATATATATATATTTTGATGTTCCATATATTAATATTTATAGTTATTCAGCCATATTATTCTAATTTGTACTCAGCATTATTATCATACTTGATTATACATATTAAATATATAATATGTAAAGTTCTAAGCCGCGCTGTTTTCCCACGTGACGTTGGTGGCGTTCTTTTTACATCCCCTAAATCCAATAATGTAGAAGTTTACGTGACAGGATTCGTAGGACCTCAGTGAAATTTGAACGGTACCATGTTTAATATAATAATACAACAAAGGACAGTGCTATTTTAATATTGAATTACATTTAGAGAAAAAGAAAATCTTACTTTAATGAAATCCGAATAAAAAGTTAAGATAATCCTGAATACTTTAATTTGTAAGCGTATCCGAAGCCGGTATAATATTTCTTTTAGACCATATCCAAAACTGATATTTCAATCTCGTAACACCCCTAGTTTGAATTAATGTATTTAATTAATAAATATCTGTTAATTGAATGCCATGTCATTCATTATCATTATCTACTTATTGATTAGAAAAATACCTATTTATAGCGTTGATGAAATTGACCAAGTGTGCATAAAAATTGGGCGTCGGGAAATAAATAAAATAATAATTCGCTTTAAACATTGTACCTTTATGCCATTTTCTTTTTTTTACAAATATTATTACCTTAATTAAAAGTATTTCAAACACTAAATGTTTTTAAATACATTTGTTTTTAATGACTACTCTAAACCAGAGGTTTCCAAACTTAATTTTCTGTAGACCACTTTCAAAGCAATAATAATTTAAATCATTCCCATTACATAAATTAATAATTTAATGTTGAGAACGTCCCCTGTACTAAAAGTCACTTAGCCAGTTTTTCGTCTCTGTTTTAAGTTTTCAACGTGAATGAAATTTTCTTTCAATGAAAAGAAAATAATGAATATTTAAGTATATGAATGGCTGGCGTTAAAATCTTAACTCTTAAAATGATATCGAAGAATTCAGCATTGTAAAAAATTGCGTATATTCTACATATTTGCTATCTTGACAAACAACCCTAATCATCTTTGGAGCTGTGGCTGTAGTCTACGGTCAATCACCGCATTCGTTTGTAATAAAAACTGTCTACATTGGTACAAGCACGCGGCGTTGTTTATTATACGTCACACACCCGAAATAAAACTCTTTATGCACGCTTCCCGGAGACGACACGTAAACATACCCAACGTGGAATTTGACGTGTCTTTGTTCAGTGAATACAGCGAATTATGGAAATATATAACCTTTTTGCAGCCTAGAACAGGGGTAGACAACCTTTTTGAACGGGATAGCCGATAGCTGTATTTTAAAAAATCTTAATTTCTTTAAAAATATTGCAACGTAATGGTGACTTATTTTTGAATACATATTTGAGATTATTTTTTTATTCGGACTAGCAGATGTTTTGTTCCAAAACAAATTTTAGCTAGACAATTGATACCTAAAATATCTTAATTGAGTTATAAAATTAGAATGTTAGATCGATGGGTTTTAAAGTCTACAGTTTTGCGAAATATTAGTTATTAGTTTGGTTATGTTAATGAGGCATTCAGGCTAACGTCGTAAGTATAAGTAACATCATCTCCTTCGTTTAATGCATATTTAAATGACAAAAAACATTCATTCTTCCGAAATTACTAAATATTAATGTCGGTACATTAAATTAAATCTTAATATACCCTAAATCGCTAACAATTCAATAGTTTATGACATGCCAAAGTTAAACTGATTTGTCGTGACAGATTAGATAATGTCTGAGCTCGTTTTTTAATTTCTGAAAACAATTCCTTTTTTTTATATCATTTAGGCGATATGTATTATGTTTACATCTCACTGAGTAATAGTTTATCAGATGATTAATGTTTTATCTGAGAATTGAAAAATGATTCCTTATTGGTATTCACATGATACCAGTCATTATTATTTTACCCAATTTATCAACATATATATGTGAAACCTAATTAATACCTGCACACGAGTAAAGATTTTATTGCACTATATCAAAAATAAACTTACACCTATTTAATTAATAACAAACTAGACAGCTAGCTGGATCTGGAACTTATTTCATAATATTTATTGTACTACTCGTGCGAATATACATGACACGTGAAGATTTTTATTTCGTCGAAAACGAAATTTCGCCTATTTTCGAATTACTAATACGACTCTAAAGAAACGCATTTTTCGATAATTTATGACCACCCTGACGCAGCTACCGATGCACAGATAACTTTCATATGATTTAAACAAAGTTATAAGAAGGATTCGAAATTTTAAACAAATAAAATAGGCCCTCGGGTGTTGTGTTAATTCGTACGAGTTAAGTATGAGATAGTCGGTCAGTTGCACAAACGTCCGTTATGGTTTAATGACGCCTTTAAGCTAGAGCTTAATTAATTATGAGCATTAGAATGAATGTCAAATTGTGCAACTAGCTGAGTGTTGCATGCATTAGTGTGCACTCTCCAAAATAATAATACGTGTGTTATATTATGTACAGATGCCCCGAGGTCGGGACGATATGCAAGTAAACGTGGCGGGCCTAAGGAGGAATATTAAAAATCTCGCGCACAACTACTCTGATGCTCAGGTAATGAAGGAAATGTGTTTTTTTTTATTTTATTAATTACGAGATTCATCGGAATCTCAATGGCTGACGTTTGCCCTTATTTAATTTAATAGATCTTTAAGAAGTCCATGTCTATTCAAAATTGACTTCAGAAGACAATTGATTAACTTAATAAAACTTAGAGAATATATGATGAAAAACATTACATCCACCAAATGTATATGAATAGGTACCAAAATTATACAACTTTGCATAATTTAATGTAACATTATATAAATTGAATGTACTACGTAGAATTTAGACAGAAGTTTTTGCATTATTTCAAAAATAAACAAAACTGTGTTCCCCCCCCCCCTCATATTAAAACGCGAACTACCGATTAGTTCGCTCATTAGTTCATATTAATAATTGCAATTGGCACGTGTTACAGGTGAAAGTGCGCGAGGCGACATCGAATGACCCATGGGGCCCATCAAGCACCCTGATGGCGGAGATCGCCGACCTCACGTACAACGTGATGGCGTTCACGGAGATAATGCAGATGATATGGAAACGTTTGAACGACCACGGCAAGAACTGGCGGCACGTGTACAAGGCGCTGGTCCTCATGGAGTACCTGATCAAGACTGGCAGCGAGAAGGTCGCCATGCAGTGTAAGGAGAACATCTTCGCGATACATACGCTGAAGGACTTTCAGTACATGGAGGAGGGGAAGGATCAAGGTACGTTTTACACCGGCAAACCATCAGACGACCTTCGTAGTCGAGTGGTTCTCACGCCAGTTTTAAAGTGTCCTTGTATCTCTGAGGTCCCGGGCCAATGTATATATTGTCTTAGATACTCCATAATACGGATAATTTAGCTACACATCTTTGGAATGCACGTGTTTCATTTATAAACTTAGTACAGTCGAAAGCAGATCATTTAGGACCAATTTAATTTCAACGAAAGTCAGAAACGCTTTGATTAAGACACTAATTACTAATTACAATCAGCCTAATGGTCGATGCCCTCCAAAACTGATATCTGTAACTGATATATGATAGTGTCGCGAGTGTGTGGTCAATGAACTACACCTACCGCCGCCACCACATCACGGCTCACGTGTATTATATATAACTGGTGTTATCCACGACAATGACTCTTAATTTGATGTGTCGGAATATTAAGTGTGTATCAGCTCACTGTAAAACCTAAACCCCTAACGTTTACCTGTTTACATATATTAATAGAGAGCGACTTAATAGTCTTATCTAATAATTTTTCAATTGGATCTATCTATATATAGGTCATTATAGATGAAAAATGAGAACAAAGCAACCCTTGCTGTGTTTCTTGCCGGAATAATAAGAAATTTAAAATATATATATATAGGATACCTGATGCGCAATTAACGAATGTAACTTAAACTCCAGAATCCATATAACCCGGTGACATCGTGCTCTTCAGTATCAACTATTAATCACTACTGGGACATATGCCCTCCTCTTTGAGTTTAATAATCACATCTTGATCACATAGTCAAATCCACAAGGAGAAACTGGGTGGGTATTGTGGCGACTTATGGCAACTTAGTCTAATGGTGGAGGTGGGTGGCGCAATGAAAAAACTGGTAGCACTCCTTAGTCTTGATATATTTCTAATAAGAATTACATTTATTCACTTACAATAATTATACTACGATGCTCACCCTAAGCTGGTCTCGATCAGAAAAAAAGACTATTTCCCAGCAAAACACGAACACACGAATTCGAATAAGAAAAAATAATAATTTAAAATATTAACGGCCAGCACTTGACCATAAACCGTCCGAAGAGTAAACCCTACCTATAGTAATGTGCTCGGACGTTACATGCCCGGGCTCCCTAAAAAAAATTATTAGAACGTGTGAAGACGCTCGAATAATTTTTACAGAAGTCTAAACCCTAAGTCCTACCTGCTTGAGGAACTTAGAGGAGGCGGTTTTTACTAATAAACCAGCTCCTGCAATGAAATTCCAATTTACTACTTTATTGTTCAGACTTCTTAAGGAATTCTTCACATTGCAGAAACTCTACAAGTGCAAAACCTCAATAAAAGCACCTGTACGTCTCCCAAATGACTACAATCATCAAAACCCTAAGTTTGATATTGGATGACGTCAAAACCCAAACACGACAAACTTTATTTTAAATACAGCTATCATATGATATTCCCGATTCCCGTAGTTAAAATCAAGCAAAATCGAATCAATTAAAGTTAATATCCAACCCAATAATAATAAACAAACGGATATGGCCAATGACAATGTGTATATCTTATAAGCATCCATGATAAATCATTGACACCCATGAGACAACAAACTGACATATGGAGCCTAAGGACGTCCAGCATCAAACAAGACGAAACCCAATTCCTATGGAACCAGATGGGTTCCCCGACCCTTGCAATGCCCATGTATAAACACTACCCGGCGCCTCCACCATGTGGCGACTTATGGCAACTTAGTCTAATGGTGGAGGTGGGTGGCGCAATGAAAAAACTGGTAGCACTCCTTAGTCTTGATATATTTCTAATAAGAATTACATTTATTCACTTACAATAATTATACTACGATGCTCACCCTAAGCTGGTCTCGATCAGAAAAAAAGACTATTTCCCAGCAAAATACGAACACACGAATTCGAATAAGAAAAAATAATAATTTAAAATATTAACGGCCAGCACTTGACCATAAACCGTCCGAAGAGTAAACCCTACCTATAGTAATGTGCTCGGACGTTACAGTATTAATTACTACAGATGCGGTCGGGACCGGTAACATTGTGCCATTCAAAGCGTAGAGAATGTTTTTTTGACATTCCATCCAATGACCGATCTTTATGGAACATGCTTAAACTTTTATATCGCAGATCGAGCAGACGCACTAATCACTGCCCCATCGAGTTCCTCATTATCATAAATTACTATAATTTATGCTTTATAGTCTATGAAGTCCAACGCCCCTAGTGACAAATCTGAGTGCGATATTGTATTGTGCTCTTTGTTTATGGAACGTGGGAATCATTGTACGAAACGTACGCGCATACCAAGGTCGTGTGCTTTTAATTCTCACCACATAACTCGCAATTATTTTCATAATTTTATCTGTGGAAGGATAACCACCTTTCGTCATATTTACCGCTAACTGACTTTAGCGGTCTTGTATCCACCACCAGCCCTTTTACGTCCCCACTGCAGGGGCTCAGGCCTTCCTTATGGATGGTTAAGGAGGATGGGCCATGACCCTCCACGCTGGCCCAATGCGGATTGGAGGGTATTGACGACTGCAAATGCAGCCGGGACCAACGGCTTAACGTGCCTTCCGAAGCACGGAGTAGCTCGAGATAATAATTTTTTGGTCACCCATCCTGTGACCGACCCTTGCGAAAGTTGCTTAACGACTACAATCGCGGGCCGCGGCACTTATCCACTACGCCATCGAGCTACTCTTGAATCCAAATACTAATAAATACCATAGATAAGCAGTTTTAAGGTAGGATATTAATCAGTAACTCTAGTGGTGCTTTGGTAATAAAGAGTTCCTGAGGAGTTTGATAGCGACTGGTTAGTTCACAAGTACTGAGGGCAAGAAACGTTCGCAAATGCCGGTCATCGGCAAGTTTACCAAAATGTATTATCTGGAGCTTCTTCGTATTTTAGGAGGTCATTATGTTGTTGTTCCCGGCTTTGCAGGCGTTAACTCCGAACTATGAATTGAATCACATGGGTCTGAATTCCCTATGTGATTCAATCCATAGGCTGGCCTTGTGCTTTTTTAAACTTTTGAATTTTTAAGTAATCTCTGGTAGCTTACAGTTAGAGGAGTCTCCCTTAATTTAAAACGAATTTATAGCTTCGGATCCAATCTCCGTCATATGAAACGAAATATTCCTTTTTTTATATAGCTCAATATTAAAATTGTTTGTGAGTGTTAAACGAGCTCCAATTAATACATTCTCGTTTAGTAAAATTTAAAACCTTGCAAACACTTAAAAGCGTGTCCATATTAATACGTCCAGTATTTCCCTGTAGTTTATCTATCTGCATTGTAAGTAAATGATGACATACAAATTTTCAACACTAAAAATGTAACAATTCGTCATCCAGGTCTCAACGTTCGCGAGAAAGCGAAGCAGCTGGTGAACCTGCTCAAGGATGAGGAGAGGCTGAAGAACGAGCGCACGCGAGCGCTTAAAGCGAAGCAGCGGTTCGCTCAGAGCGCCAGCGCCTTCGGCAGCGACGGCGCGCTGGACACGCCCTCCAGCCCCACCTACCCGCCGGTAACGTAGCCTGTGCTTTTTAAACTTTGGAATACTTGATTTTAAACTTTTGCTAGTTTCGTCGGTCTAATGGGAAACTTAATGTCGATACCTTTTCTGAAATTGCTTAATTGCGTTTTCTTTCATCAGAATTGTGTTGTAAGAATATGGCGTCTATTGCTGATGATTGAATTACAATATCTCTTATATTGAGACCGGACTGTGTTTGATTGAATGCATGAGGCTCGCAAAATCGCACATAATTGCGGATCAATTTTCTAGATTTTTGCAGTTTCCAAACGTATGTTTAATTGAAGGCGGTCTTAGCCTGAAATTTTTTTCAAAATTATAAAAGAATGATTGAGTAAATTGTAAAAAAATATAAAGATGCAATGCTTGCAATGTATTTGTACATGACAATAAAAGTTGTGTTTGTTTTGTCACCAGACGGCGTTATTTTCCTCAGATGAGGTATATTCTTTTTTTATTACGCTAGTAATTAATTCATTATCCATTTATGATACTATCTATCGAATACAATCTGTGTTCGAGACTATTCAATCGGTCGAATTCAATATGACAGGGTTTTTACTACTTATGCATGATATACATTAAATAGTATATGATATGTAAGTAATATATACGTTATACATACTTACTTCAAGTTTAAAGTAGTTGAATAATATGGCTGGTTTTTTTTTCTATAGTATATACATATTTATTCTAAACAGTATACGGAATTATATATTTTTTATTCATAATTTGTGTAGAATAGTGCGCACGCGCATGATCTCAGTAAAATATAGTAGCTTGTATACTTACATTTAGATTAGCATAAATTGTTCCTATTATTAATTTGGAACTTCCAACAAGTAAAATTTATTATATTCGTAGAATTTGCATTCACATATTTTAAATTGCTTAAAAAATTCACCAATCCTAACTGACACAGATGGAATGGTATTGTGTAAATTGCCTGAACATTGATACAGGTTACGGCTCAGTTGCTTAGAGCTCGGATTATGATTAGTTTATTGGTAGCTATCCCATTTCAGGCACCTGGGACGGGCGAATATTTTAAATATTTTCTTTACGTTAATTTTTGGTTACCATGTTATGGTATTGATTGTAATGCTATCACGTTTTTTATTAATCTAATGAGACATCGATAGCGGTATTCTATTACGATATTCTTTGTTAGATTATTTTAGTTATACACATGGGTATGTAGATTGTTTGGCCAAAAATGTGCTTCACTTAACAGTTTTTTTTTTAGTAAAGAACAATCCCATTTCATGTCTTTTTAAAGTGTTTTTTTTTTCTCTTCAAGATTTTTATTTCTTTATCCTTAACGATACCTATATGAAAGATGGATGTTATGAAGTTACATAAGTTCATTTACAGACCATATTCTTTTAAGGGGCTACTTGACTTTTTTCGGAAATTTTAAATTATTCATATTAAACCACTGTGTATTCTTTTTCACAAAAAGTTTTTAAAGTCTAGTCCTCGTAATCCACAGACTAAATCGTAAAATGATTTTGCAACAACAAAATATACTTAAATTTATTTTAAAGCAAAAAATACTCCAGAGTTCACAATGTTATGTTGTTAAAAAAACTACTAATCAGAAATTCATATGAGAAAACGCAAATAATATATAAAAAACAAAATGGCGGATCGGACAATTGCCAAATATAATTACATTTTTAACTATTTAAAAAAGCCGCGTAATGGTAACTCGGTGGATGGGAAATCATTTGTGGGATTTCTGCATTATATGTACTTTTAAATGATTATCTGTGTATTTAATATAATAAATAATAAAAATTGTTTTACATTTTGAACGTTTCCCGCGGTTTTTCTAGAAATTCTATTAGCAATTTAAACACGAACTATTTCAAAAGGTCGGTAGGCCAAATCTGCTAATGTGTACATTAGGGCAATGTAATTCTCACACATCAATAGTGAAAGATATATAATAATATTGGACTTTAGGTTATCTATCTAGGACGATGGTTAAATGGAAGTCATTGAGTCGTTGTGGTTCAAAAATTATTAATTGACCGAATGACTTGTGTTTCGTTCGACAGGAGAGTATAGGGATATAAATAATATAATTTTATATCTTTATTTTTAATATTTTATCCGATAGCCTTCGATTCCCTAATTTCTTTAGAAAAAAATTAAAACCGATATCAAAAAGACTAAGGCGGTGGTTATAAAGTTAAGGAGATATAATTTGTGTAATTCGGGCTGAGATTTGCTAGCCCCGCGCCCGACTTAAAATGAAATTTCTTGAATTCATTAAACGCCCTCGAGGGTCACACTGAAAGATTAACCGACGAGTTCTTTCTAAGAAACTAAGAACTAGTTTCAGAAAAAAGGACTCGGTTCAGTCGTCAAAATTAAATTCCGGGACAAAATTTTAAATATTACGTTCTCGGCGCAGTCACTTTAATTAGATTATAAGTGTATCGAGCTTGAGGTTGTGTAACGTAAACATTGTGTCGACCGGGCAGACGGACAACATGGCCGGCGGAGGTGGGGGTGGAGGGGGCGCGGGCGGGGGCGGCGGGTACCGCGACGCGGAGCTGGCGCGGCCGCTGACGGCGGGCGAGGAGGAGCTGCAGCTGCAGCTGGCGCTGGCCATGTCCCGCGAGGAGGCCGAGCGCGACGAGCGCCGCCGCCGCTCCGACGACGTGCGCCTGCAGCTGGCGCTCAGCCAGTCCCAGAACGACTTCCAGTCAGTACGCACCACACTACACTACACTACACTACACTACACTACACTACACTACACTACAGCCGCCCCTAGCGCTCCCATGTCCCGCGAGGAGGCCGAGCGCGACGAGCGCCGCCGCCGCTCCGACGACGTGCGCCTGCAGCTGGCGCTCAGCCAGTCCCAGAACGACTTCCAGTCAGTACGCACCACACTACACTACACTACACTACACTACACTACACTACACTACACTACAGCCGCCCCTAGCGCTCCCATGTCCCGCGAGGAGGCCGAGCGCGACGAGCGCCGCCGCCGCTCCGACGACGTGCGCCTGCAGCTGGCGCTCAGCCAGTCCCAGAACGACTTCCAGTCAGTACGCACCACACTACACTACACTACACTACACTACACTACACTACACTACACTACAGCCGCCCCTAGCGCTCCCATGTCCCGCGAGGAGGCCGAGCGCGACGAGCGCCGCCGCCGCTCCGACGACGTGCGCCTGCAGCTGGCGCTCAGCCAGTCCCAGAACGACTTCCAGTCAGTACGCACCACACTACACTACACTACACTACACTACACTACACTACAGCCGCCCCTAGCGCTCCCATGTCCCGCGAGGAGGCCGAGCGCGACGAGCGCCGCCGCCGCTCCGACGACGTGCGCCTGCAGCTGGCGCTCAGCCAGTCCCAGAACGACTTCCAGTCAGTACGCCCACCACACTACACTACACTACACTACACTACACTACAGCCGCCCCTAGCGCTCCCATGTCCCGCGAGGAGGCCGAGCGCGACGAGCGCCGCCGCCGCTCCGACGACGTGCGCCTGCAGCTGGCGCTCAGCCAGTCCCAGAACGACTTCCAGTCAGTACGCCCACCACACTACACTACACTACACTACACTACACTACACTACAGCCGCCCCTAGCGCTCCCATGTCCCGCGAGGAGGCCGAGCGCGACGAGCGCCGCCGCCGCTCCGACGACGTGCGCCTGCAGCTGGCGCTCAGCCAGTCCCAGAACGACTTCCAGTCAGTACGCACCATACTACACTACACTACACTACACTACACTACACTACAGCCGCCCCTAGCGCTCCCATGTCCCGCGAGGAGGCCGAGCGCGACGAGCGCCGCCGCCGCTCCGACGACGTGCGCCTGCAGCTGGCGCTCAGCCAGTCCCAGAACGACTTCCAGTCAGTACGCACCACACTACACTACACTACACTACACTACACTACACTACAGCCGCCCCTAGCGCTCCCATGTCCCGCGAGGAGGCCGAGCGCGACGAGCGCCGCCGCCGCTCCGACGACGTGCGCCTGCAGCTGGCGCTCAGCCAGTCCCAGAACGACTTCCAGTCAGTACGCACCACACTACACTACACTACACTACACTACACTACACTACACTACAGCCGCCCCTAGCGCTCCCATGTCCCGCGAGGAGGCCGAGCGCGACGAGCGCCGCCGCCGCTCCGACGACGTGCGCCTGCAGCTGGCGCTCAGCCAGTCCCAGAACGACTTCCAGTCAGTACGCACCACACTACACTACACTACACTACACTACACTACAGCCGCCCCTAGCGCTCCCATGTCCCGCGAGGAGGCCGAGCGCGACGAGCGCCGCCGCCGCTCCGACGACGTGCGCCTGCAGCTGGCGCTCAGCCAGTCCCAGAACGACTTCCAGTCAGTACGCACCACACTACACTACACTACACTACACTACACTACACTACAGCCGCCCCTAGCGCTCCCATGTCCCGCGAGGAGGCCGAGCGCGACGAGCGCCGCCGCCGCTCCGACGACGTGCGCCTGCAGCTGGCGCTCAGCCAGTCCCAGAACGACTTCCAGTCAGTACGCACCACACTACACTACACTACACTACACTACACTACACTACACTACAGCCGCCCCTAGCGCTCCCATGTCCCGCGAGGAGGCCGAGCGCGACGAGCGCCGCCGCCGCTCCGACGACGTGCGCCTGCAGCTGGCGCTCAGCCAGTCCCAGAACGACTTCCAGTCAGTACGCACCACACTACACTACACTACACTACACTACACTACACTACAGCCGCCCCTAGCGCTCCCATGTCCCGCGAGGAGGCCGAGCGCGACGAGCGCCGCCGCCGCTCCGACGACGTGCGCCTGCAGCTGGCGCTCAGCCAGTCCCAGAACGACTTCCAGTCAGTACGCACCACACTACACTACACTACACTACACTACACTACACTACAGCCGCCCCTAGCGCTCCCATGTCCCGCGAGGAGGCCGAGCGCGACGAGCGCCGCCGCCGCTCCGACGACGTGCGCCTGCAGCTGGCGCTCAGCCAGTCCCAGAACGACTTCCAGTCAGTACGCACCACACTACACTACACTACACTACACTACACTACACTACACTACACTACACTACACTACAGCCGCCCCTAGCGCTCCCATGTGATCCCAAATTTGGGATAACTTTATTATATATTTTTTTAAGTTTATCGTGTGAATGGATTGCTTTTCTTTTCAGTTTATAGTTTATTAATTGCTTGAGCTGTTGGTCTTCCTAAATAAATAACAAAAAAACAACACTAACACACCTGCCACTCTCGCCCTATCTCTACAACTACATTGCTCGACATGTCCCGCGAATAAACTTGAAATTGCAATTTTAGTCTTAATCCAAATTCATTTTATAGTGAGAATAAGCAAACTTACTACCATTTGGGAGTTAATAATATTACTCCCTTAGAACCACGTAATAGGTTAACCTTTGCCAAGTCTCTCTTTAATAATATAAATTTTGACTAAATACAATTTCAATATAAATTTACTCCAACGCTAAACCTGGTTTATTAATAACAATGTAATTATATACATTTAATTTTTTAGCAACGATAAATGTTAGGCCTTTATGTAATTGAGAACTAAATAAAGTATTAAATTTTGTTGAAAATTGAAAACAAATAGAGCCACATGTGTCGCTATCTTTTTCAGAGAATCTTTGAAATACAATCAAAATATAACTTGCTAATTTAAAAGATTTGTTGGAGATTTTTTTTTTCTTTTTTTAAGATATCCTTTTTTTTTATGAATGTAACCATCCAAACGCTGTGCTTATCGATAAATTCAATTTTATTATTGCTCAGTAATTTACTATATAAACAAGGTTAGAGCAGCGGCACCGCTTGGCGTGTTGTTACAGCGACGTGTGTCCGCTGGTCGTGCGCGGTTATATCGGACGCTTACCTCGTATACAGTTAGTGTTTACCCGACTACAACGTGTATCATGAGTTATACATATCGCTTATACAGTATAACTATTTGGTAGTAGCATAAAACAAATAGATTTGTATATTTATACAATATGCGTTATAGGACATTTCTTGTAGTAAATAGTATATTTAGTGTTGTAGACATTATTGTTTGTAGTATATATATGTGTTTATATTGAGAGTTGAAACTTTAGAGAATTAATTCTAACATATTCCTTAAAGTAGAAGAATTATTTTAAACGAGACACGTCAGTTTTTCTGACAAATTCCTATTTGCGCTATCAATCGCGATACTATAAGAGACGCAGTTCTTTATTGTTTTTATTTATAAAAAAGATTAAGCTGCTACTTTTTATTAAAACATAGTTTGATGTATCAGGAAGTTGTTGTAAATATATATTGAATAGAAACTCAGTTGACTTTAATTAATCCTTGTATTTCACTAGCAGCCATGACAATTCCTTTTTCTATATTAGACGTAGAGTAATCATTGGAGAACAGTGTTGCCACTAATATGTATCGATACACTACACATAGGAATATAAGTTATTGATATGACAATTAGATTTTTTTAAATCAATATATGTATTCATTTAATTAATAATTTGTATCGTCGCATAAACGGAAGAACGGAAGTCTCGGCTATTTTTATACGTGATGTGTTAGCAACATCACCAGCTTCTTTATTATATGCATTCCTACATTAGCACGACCGGGAATCCATTCAACCGCGGGTGTCATAGGCAAAAAATCTCTTTGTGTCGTCAGGGTGTCGTATACAATATATATGTATTCCGAAAATATTCCATATGAATAGACGAAATATTAATTAAGTGATATGCCGATGTTACGATAATGTTAAAAGTTGTGCCAAAATATTTTTTTGAATAAATAATATTTTGGTTAGAGCACCGGCGGGCGAGAAGAAGTCATCCCCCCAGCAGTCGCACCTGCTGGACCTGCTGGACGTGAACCTGTTGCCCTCCGCGCCCGCCCCCCACGCCGCCCCCGCCCCCGCCCCCGCCGACCCCTGGGGGCTGCCGTCGCCGCCACACAGGCAGGTCAGTCGTACACATCTACACTAACTTTTTTTGGACGATGAATCTTGCGACAAATCAATCTGTGATCTTGATATTGTAATGTATTGGTTGATGCCAGATCCAAATGGACCGCGTATTATACAGATAATTTGATTTTTATCATCAACTCTCAACTTTGACCTCAGACAATACAGATTAATTATCTATAAGTCAGCTGACACGTTAGTATTTAAGGGAACACCACAATAAATAAATAAATATTAATATGTTCATGCCATATATTTTGCAGGGTAGGCAGAGAAAACAAAAAATTCACCATACTTACAGCTTTTTGTGTCTACATCTAGTCGATGACTGACTTTCTCTAATCTATTATATAGTAATGGAAAGTGACTTCACCACACAAAGTTTAACTTTGACAAGATTTCTCTGTATATAAATAAAACAGGGAGAAAAAAGCAGCCCTTGATGAGTTTCTCGTTTATTATAAACTTTATTCTGTCCGAATCTGACAGAAAAGATTTAAGACTCTTGTAATTTCGTATTCATATAAGATTAATGAAAACTATAGTTTTAAATAAAAAAAAATTGACAAAATCATGGATGGATATTTTGTTTATTAATTCAATTTTTTTACGGTGCTTATGATATGTATTTTATCAGTCCATGCATTTGGAGTTCGGCATATTTTCGGAACCTATGGTGAGCGCATACAGTTTACATTGGTGCTACTTATCATAGTGTGTTGTTAATCATATGCTAATGTCGTTGTGCATATCAATTATCACAATTTGTCATTAAAAATCTTCAAGTTTCTATTAGATTTATGCTCGAAGTTTTGTAAATTTTTGCTAGCATTAAATGAGATAAAAGGTCTTCATACAAATTACATTTTTTAATTTGAATGTATTCCAGTTGGAATTGAATGTGACCTGCTATTATAGAAAATAAGTGTTTTCAGTTATAGTTAGTTAGTTAAGGCATAGTTGGTTATTTGTATTTGCTTTTACTTAATCGGTTATACTTCAGAATTTATCATAGATGCCCTTCATCAGGTCTCTCCCAACCTATTATAATATAGACGATATGGCATTGACATAACTTTCTCTTTTAAAATATAGGTTCATTACATGTAATTTTCCTTTTGCCATTTTATTAAAAATAAGCAAAGTGTCCCCCGTCCCCCCTTTGGTTTTGACGTCACTTTCTCAAATTGTCATCTCAAAATATTGGTCACTTGCAAAAGTTAATTTGCTCAGAAAGTCGTTTCAGCAACATGTCAATTTAGTTCAATGTCACTTACGTAGAATACCATTTACAAAATTATTACGCGCCCTGTATATTATTGCTAACAATAGAAAAAAAACACAAATGTCATCAATCGAATCTTTATCACATATGAAATCAAGTATAAATGCACATAAATGCAAAAATATGTATGTATTACAATTGTTCACTTGACGAAATAAGACTATAAACATAACATTTGTTATTATAGTTTTATGTAAATGAAATACAAATTAGGTATATAAAAATTAAATTTAAGGGACTAATTGTTTCTTGAAAAATTCAAAGTAAATATATTAATTTGCTTAATATCAGTGCTCAATAACGACCACGTCATAAACCCTCTTTAAAGTTAAATCAAAAATGAAACTAATTTATCAGAATGTCCCCCTTTCAGGACACCGCATCCGAAGCGTGGTCGGGCGTGGGCAGCCCCGCGCGCGACCCCTGGGCCGCCCCCGCCCCCGCCCCCGCGCCGCCGGACCCGTGGGCGCCGCTGGCTCACCTCAACGCACAGGTGAGAAACGCCTTATTGTTTCTCACTAATTACTTGTACATCTTCAGCGGCTTGGTCGTAGTGGATATGTCCCGCTTGAACAATTACGGCCCATGCTTCTCAAACTTATAAGGAAAGCCTGAACCTATGCAGTGTAGATATAAAAGGGCTGATCATGAGTATATGAAGTATAAAACTAAAGCAACAATACATTACTTGCCATTGAATACTCACGAGGTTTAAAGAACGGAATGGGGAAAGAAATTTGAATATAATTAGGGTTTGAATTTTCTATTATAGTTAAAAAAGTTTCAATTCTGTCAAACGACGTTTTCGATCCTTTTAATAACTAAGAAACTAAACTTTTATTAAGTTTACTGTTTTATTACAGATGTTGAATATATTTATTTTCTATAAGTTAAATTGTGTAAGACTGTTTATTTCCTTAATGAATCAGGGACCAAGACGAGGTAGTATATGTCAGCATTTTTAAAGTAGGTAGTCAGTATTGTTGAAATATTTTTAATATTTTTCCAAACACAATTCAATCTTCCTATACTATGTGCCCATCAAATTTCTATTTTCCTGGTTTAGAGAGTGATACAACAGAATTGACACAGTACTTATTGTTTTGACATAGTAATTGTGGTGTATGTGAGATAAGAACGCATGAATTGTTTATTTATTACTAGCTTTCCGACAGCGGCTTCGCTCAAGTGGTCATATATTATACATAAAAACCTTCCTTTTGAATTACCCTATCTATAAAAAAAAACCGCATCAAAATCCTTTGCATAGTTTTAAAGATTTAAGCGTACGTAGGAACAGAGAAAGCGACTTTGTGTTATACTATATAGTGAAGTACATGGAATGTATCAGCACGTATGAGTAGCTCGGTGGCGTACTGAATAAGCGCCGCGGCCAGTAATCGTTGATATTAGCAACTTTCGCAAGGATCATTCGCTGGATGGGTGACCAAAACAATGTTATCTCGAGCTACTCCGTACCTTGGAAGGCACGTTAAACCGTTGGTATGGTCATGGATGGCGCATCCTCCTTAACCATCCGTAGAGAAGACCTAAATCCCGCATTGGGGACGTAAGAGGTCTGATGATGATGGTATATGTATGGTATGTGCAGAGCAAGTCCCCGCTGTCGACGGTCTCGTCCCCCTCGTCGGGGGAGCTGCAGCAGTTCGACGCGCTCTCGCAGCGGCCGCCGCCCGCCAACGACGACCCGTTCGAACTCACCGCGCTCGGTATGTTACATCTGTTTTATTTATGATGATGATATATGTATTGGTACGAGTTCGGGATAAAAATCTAACGCCAATTAAATTCACAATCCGACTTTATTTAACCAACAAAATTACAAATATAAGTCAGTAACAAAACTCACACTGTAAAATTCCACTATTCACGTCACTACGGTCACTTCTCAACACTATTAGATCATCCGGATAGTTCACTTCACTACACTATTAGATCGTCCAGATACTTCACTTCACTACACTACAATATTAGATCGTCCGGACACTTCACTTCACGAGAGCGATCAGAAGCGATAACGCTTCTGATCGCTCTCGTGAAAGAATCCCGGGTCGGGTTTATGGAAAGTGACTTCATATTTTAATGAAGTCACTTTTCAATAAGACTTCTCTGTGTTAAATAAAACAGGGAGAAAAAAAACAGCCCTTGCCGAGTTTCTTGCCGGTTCTTCTCAGTACAAGGTCTCCCGCCGTAGTTTTGCGAACCGATGGCGTAGTTTTCGACTTTCACAAGTGCTCTGTAAAAGCCTAAACTGAATAAATAAATTTTGATTTGATTTGATTTGATTGGGTAGTGGGCGAGACCTTATCTAGAATGTTCTATACCTTTACCATATAGTTCTAGAACAGCTCCCCGTCCCTTTCTTCCCTCGTGACCGTCCCTCCGACTAGATGTATATCTATATGACATACAGTTTCGGCAGTGTTAGCGCGATTAATAGGCGCATAACGCCATCTAGTAATGTGTAGACGAACCGTGCCATTGCACTCCGTAACAGTATGTAGACCTAAATATTGATGTATTCAAAAAAGAACAATACGATTAACATGACCTTTAAAAAATACAATGTAAGTAATACAAACCAAATCGTTTGATATCGCTGTCAAACTGTGGAACTCACTGCCGGTAAATATCAGACGCGCACTTATTAAATGTATCAAAGAACATTTCCTCAAGCTAAATTCACCTTTCTCAAATTGTATTCTGTTTTCTTTTATTTTGTATAAATATTTTTATTTGTATTTGTATATGTATTTACTTCTATGAATTTTCTAATTCTTCATTCATTAATACATTAGCCCGCAGGCTCTTTTCTTTATTCAATTGGTATACTTTCTTTTGGCCAAGGGTGGCCTGGTAGAGACTGTTACCTTAGCAACAAGGCCGTCTTGCATTTATGTGTCTAAATATATTTATTTTAATAATAATAATAATAATAAATTTCTTTCCCAAAAAAATTTCATATACGTTTACAAACTTTTCTGGCTCTCACACTAAGCTAAACCTGACCTGTGGCGAGCTTTGTACCAGTTGCGGCTTTTGAAATTACACTACATACGGCACAACAACAGATACATGACATTACTTACTTCATTACATTAGATACTTAAAACATTACATTATAATCAACATTTTTACTTTGCTTTATATTTATATTGTCTAACAATCGATTTTGTGTAGTTACAAGTGGACTATATGAGTGAGTGATATCGTTATTGCTAGTTTTGGATCCTCAATAGATTTTCAGTATCCTCATAGTTAAGTTCCAGAAGCTTCCTGGACAACAGAACTTTTATTTTCCTGATCGATTTATTTTTAATTTGAAGGACGCTTATTGTAAACGTGTGGGAAAATATAAGGTCCGAAACGCTGCGCAAAGGTAGTTTTGATCACATGACTTGGTATTTTAAAACTCTTCTTCTGAGTAGAGATTTATGCTGGCTTGATGGTACAACTTCTTTGTGAACAGAAATAACTGCTCAGTATTAAAAACAACTTTTCTTGGTTATGTTTTACTGGGCAATAAAGGAAATATTAATTGATTCATTCAAATATAATGTAATTGCAGGCGAGTAATTATGATAGCGCAGTTTGTAGTTTGGGTTTTATTGTCTGAAAAATAATGTTAAATTCTACTTAAATTGTATAATTTTTATACAGTTTTATTCAATTTAGTGTAGTGAAAGTGCACTATTTTAGGGAAGGTGAAACTTGAAACCATCGTGTGATATCATGTGTTGCTCCATTACTCCGCTTGACATGACTGACGAGTGGACTATGACTTAGTTGAAACATTTAATTTCGATTTGTGTAAAACTTGATATTGGCTATATGTACAAACCGTGCTCAAGGCATAGAGGGTAAAACTTTTTTTTTTATATAATTGCAGGCAACAATCTGTCCGGTGGCGCGGTGGGCGCGAGTAACGGCGGCGGGGTGGCGAAGAAGTCCCCGATGTCGTTCCTGGGCGAGAACTCGTCGCTGGTGAACCTGGAGCGGCTGCTGCAGGCGCCGCCCGCCGCCGCCGCGCCCAACCCCTTCGCGCCGGAGCCCAACAGGAGCGTGTTCGCGCCGCCCCATCCGGTACGCGACCACACCTACACTTACAGCCAGTTGCACAAACGTGCATTATAATTGTCATTAGTTTAAAGTGACATTACCCATACAAATTTGACATTCATTAGAGCTTAAAGCCGTCATTAAGC